GTATATGTTATATTTTAGCAATTCATCCCACCACCTAAAAGAGGATGGGGGACTTCTTGCTAACTTGGGTTAAATTTACTTATTCGGCAAAATAAAAAGTCTTCTAATTCAATTTGAGTTAAATGGAGTTTTCTAGTCATTACCTCATTTGATAAATTATTACAATACTCAAATTAAATGTCAGGTTGTTTGTTGCTTGAAGCCTTGCTAATCAATGGCTTTTGAGTTTTCAAGACTGACATAAATTATGAGTAGCGTTATGTTATCCGCTTGGTAACCTAATATCTTTTCACATAATTAATACTTGGCTTTTTCCGAGGGAGTAGGATTTTCCGGACAAGCCCAAGAACCTTGTCCGATATTTTTAGGGTCTTCGGCTACTTATAATGTTTTCTCAAATTCTTTGTCTTGTGACGTACTATTTTATATTTATATTGCTTATATCGCTAGATAAAATTTCTATTTGTGCTTCGAGTTTCTTGGAAGAACTTTCTAAACCATAATATTTTAAATTTTCTCCGTAATCTATAAAGATTTGCTCGCCTTTTTTTATTTCAATTGACTTTCCTGGTTCAACTGAAATAGTAACATAATCGTATTTGCTTTCCCTTTTATTGAAGTGATAAATTATTCTAAATAGTTCTTCTTTTTTGTCAGAATCGGGGTTAGTGTTGAAAAAGTCAATAATAGGAATAAAATAGGTGTTAGGGTTATCTGACGCGGGTTTGGAACATCTGGTTTTAACGATTGAATAGGCTCACCAATAAATTTGGTTGTTGTCGTGGTTTATGTCACTGAGTTCAGGCTTAGGAAGTCAGTCAGTAATTCCTTTTTCGGCCTCGTCATACCATCCAATAATGAGGGGTCAGATAGTTTGAGCAAATTCTAGTAGATAAGCATCGCGTTTTCCTTGCTCTTTCAATTCAACAAGGTAGTCAGTTCAAGGCCTTCAAAAGTGCTCAAAACTCCTTTTTTTATTGAGAGCCAAGAAAAGGGTGAGAAAAGCCTCCTCTATTTCATGTTTTTTTAATTCTATCACTTTGGTGTTTCCCATTCCTTTGCTTACTTTAGAATAAATTTCATTAACTTTTCCTCCCTCATAGTTTAATCAAAAAGTAAATCCATCTCTTTTCTCAAAGTCTCTATTAACAATATTTTCAAAAGAAAGAAACATTTCGTAGGGAACTTTTAACACAACATTTTTATCATTGACAAACTTTTTTCCTTTTCCCTCGTAGATAATTCCATAACCCATTTTGGGCGTTTCTTTTATTTTCAAATCAGAATAAACATCCTCAAAATTGTTATCTTGGTCGTAAACTTTTTTATTTTCCTCAAATCATTTTAGTAATTTTTTTAGTAATTTTTCTTTTTTTGTCATATTAGTGCAATATAATTTATATTTATTTGATTATTATGTTATTTTTAGTATTACTTATTTTGAATCATCAGAGATAAGCGTTAGTTAATTTTAATTCTGTTGTCATACGTATTTATTTTTGCAAATAATTCTTTTTTTAACTTTTTTCCTTAATTTATTTATTATGCATAACTACCTCAATCTGGGCTTGTTGATCTAATAGTTGTTTTAAATTGGCATTCTCTTCTTTTAGTCTTTCAATCTCAGCATCTTTTTGTTCGGTTATTTCTTTTAATTGTCTTTCCCTCCATTCTTGGGCTTTTTGGAGGGCTTTTTCAACTTCTTCCCTTTCCATTTGGAGTTCATTTTTTAGTTGGCTATTTTCACTTTCCAATATTTGATTTTGGTAAGTTAATCGTTCAATTATTACTGGATTAACTTTATCAGGATTATCTTTTTTTCAAAGTTTTAGGAGATCGGCAAAATTGCAGTCTCTCGACCTTTGTTCACCATCTTTCACATATTTCATTAACTCTTGATTAATGAATTTTATTTTTTTATCCTCATGATCAAAATAAGAGCAGTAAAATCGTTCAACACCATCTGGTACATATTCTAAACCACTACTGAAATTGGTGTAACCAATATTTAGGTATTCTAAAGCCGAATTTTTCAACAAAAAAGATAAATCCTGTCCGGAAAAATCATTATTCGAGCAACCGAGCATCTTCAACTTTAAACAATTATCCAATTTTAAATCTGTTAATTTGTTGTCAGAACAAAACAATTTCTCTAAATTACAAAAATCCTTTAAGTCTAAGATTCCGGTAAGTTTTTGATTAAAAAGATGCAACTCTATTATATTTTTTCTTTGGTCTTGGGGATACTTTCAATCTAAATAATCTTGAGCCGGTTTGTTATTTTCTAGTCAAGTATCAAATCCCCCCCTTAATGTTTTTAAATTTAATTCTGAGTTTGGTTCAATTCTTTTTCATTTCAAATAGGCAGCAAATTCAACACTGTTTTTTTTATATTTATCTAGGCCAATATTTATTCATTCTTTAGTTTGCTGTGCGGTGAAACCATATTCCTTTCATTGCCTGACTTCATTATAGTCTCATGGTCCAAAAATATCTACTTCTTGAACTCATTCCTTAGCATCTTGGTAGGTTAAACCTGCCGCTTCTCATTCTTGTTGGTATGTTCTACCATTTACTGTATTTACTCGATAAAAATTTCAATGTATTTTTCTTCAATTAGTCATAATATTTATTATTTATTTCTCACTACCTCGATAAAGGCTTGAACCTCATGTTTTTCTTTTTGATATTCTAAACTTTTTTCATTTCATGCTTCTTTTTCGATTTGATCTTTTTTTTCACTAGCAATCTCGACACAATCCTCTTCATCTTTTTGTAAATATCCAGCCAATTTTTGTAAAAATTTTTCTAAATTATCTTTGTCTTCTTTTAATCAATTATCCCCACTTTCTTTTTCTTCTAATTTTTTTCTTAACCCTTTAATCTCTTCAACTAAAAACCTTTCTTGCACTGGGGTTTTTTCAATCGATAATTGATTGGCTTGTTGAGCTAATTGTTGCTGAAAGTTTTGGATTATTCCAGCCACTAATTCGGGTTGAAATGAAAATTGATACAGTTTTTTTATGGATTGGGTAGTCGGAGCCAGAACGACCAAAGCGGCGGCTCTCCCAAATTCCTTGTCATCAGAACTATTAAGAAGTGACAAGATATCAGTAATTAGGGATCTTTTTTCTTCAATAATGTTTTCTCCTTGACCTTTTTTCTTTACCAAATAGAATAGATCTTTTTCTTCCTTTTTGGTTTCTAATCTTTCTATTAATTCCTCGTCGGACAAATCTTCTAATTTCTCCTCTTGATTTTCGGCTTCTTCTTGTAAACTTTTTATTTCCCCTTTGCTTATTTCAATAGAAAGTGTTTGCAACGGAACAGTTTTATCCTTTCGCTTCTGCTGATTTTCTATTTGTTTTAGCCGAGCCACTTCACTCTCTAATTGTTTCGTTTTCTCAATTAAATCCTGTAAATTACTCACTTCAGATATTTCTCTAATATCTTTGAGAGTAGTAGCCTCGCCGGTAATTTTTTGCCCTAATATTTCTGTCAAAAATCCTGTAACATCTTCACCAATTTCTTCCTCTGAGAATCCCAAACTAATTAATATTTTTTGATATTTTTGCTGGATTTTGTTTAAATCGACAATTAATTGTTTCATTTGGGAGTTCATCATTTCTCTTTGCTCTTCTAATTCGTTATTAAGATTATTCAGAGCCTCTCGGGCGGCTTTCATTTGTTCCAGAACCCGCTTTTTTTCTGCCTTAGCCTCTTCTTTTAACCTTTTGGCTTCTGCTAATTGATTAGCCAAGTCCTCAATTTGCTTCTCTAATTTCCTATTTTCTTTTTCGTTTCGTTTTAATTCCTTAATACTTGTTTTTAAACTTTCAATTTTCTCGTTTTTTTCGATTATTTCTTTCTCCAATCTTTCTCGGTC